TTAAAGGTAAATTAGGGTCTTTCCTGTTGGGGCCCTTTGGTATGTGTGGCCAAACAATCCAAAAGCTTAATGCTCTGATGTTACACTGTCAAAGAGAAAATGATGTGATTTGACTTTGTGGTTGTTTAGGAGATCCTGGTTCCTCTGTGCGACTGTGCCAGCTGTACTGACACATCAGCGTCTGCTGGATCTTTTATAAATGAGACTGACATACTCGTTAAGTATTTCCTGAATGATACAATCTCCCCATCCCTCTCAAACTGGCATTTTGTTTCTGTACAAATTTCCTGAATTACAGATACTGTATAATGACTGACTTTCTATAACTACAATCACTGAAACAGAATCACGTCAATTACAGACATCCAAACTTTTATTATTTATTCCCCGGGTCTATATAAAGCTCTACATTAATATGGTAAAAAAAAAAAAAAAGAAGTTACATTTAAAAACCTGAAATACATTAAAGGATAAATTCTTGCACAGTGTTTTTATATACTCCTGGAGCACTCAAAGCACTTTACACAACATGCCTCATCCACACATTCATACAGGCAATTTCTCTGTGCTTAACTTGGGGTTAGCATTTTGCGTGAGGATATCTGGCATGCAGGGCGGAGCAGCCAGGGATCAAACCAGCAACCTTTATATTAGTAGTTGACCTGCTCTACCCCCCTGAGCTACAGCCACCCTTCATTATAAATGAGGTCCATTTATGAGGAAAATTTCATAACAGTGTCACATTAAGAGGACAGAAAATGATCATTATCACATGTATCTCTTAACATGAAATACAAACTAAAAATGATTTACATGTTTAGGGTCATTTCTTCCAGTTATGTTAAAGTACCAAACACGGTTTTATCCTGATTGCTCACTTATTGCATCGTTAATCTGAGACATCATTATAGAGTCTCTCTACTTTGTCCTGTCTGAAGCATGTAGACCAGAATAAATACCATTATCACAAAAGTACAAATAATAAATATGACCGACTCACTGCACTGATAAATGGTGATGGCTTCTGTGTTTTGTCTCAATAATAAAATAACAGAATCACAATTATTACAGAAATATCAGATGTGTAAACATCAAGATGAGCCTCTGTCAAGTTTCAGCAAGGCCAGTATGCAGGACTCTCAGGTTTAACAGGTAAATATAAAAG